TGACATAGACTGGATGGGAGAAGGTTCTTTACAAGGTTTCTAACATTAAGCAGAATAGGCCTCAATTTAATAATATTGCTACATAAGCAGGGATGTGTTCTCTAGCAAGGAATCTGTTCCTGTTTACAGAAGATAGTTGAGAATTCCACTTATAAAATCATAAAAAGCAAACCTGTTCTTGCAAATGTTATGAAATTGTGTGTGATGGATATAATCTCCTAACCTTGTTCCTGCCACCACTGTCCTTCCAACCTCCCTCTGCCCCCATGTAAGTTAGGCTGGTTTTTCTTATAAGATGCTGAACATATCCTCTTGTCTTGATTTTCTCCAAGGGCTAGAGTTAGACTATTGATATAATTTCTGGGCGTCCTGAGTACAGAATAGCCAAGAGGTGCACATTAACGCTTGTCCAGAGGATCTCGATGAACAATTCAGTCAGGAGAGCTTTGTTCTGAATCAACTCGGGGTGTCCTCAAAGTGTGTCCTCATGGAACTGTCCTCCTGGGATCACTAAGTCAATCTGCTTTTCTGAACTATGGGATGACCGGCAAGTGTTCCCTTTTAACCTTAAATCCAAGAGAAACTACCAGCAACCTGGCCTGAGTCACACCCAACCTAGTGCAATGCAGAACCTGGGGTACAGGACGTCAGAGATCAGACTCCTTGGAATGCACTACAGCCCACAATTTTATTGATCCTACCAACAAGCAGTCATAATGAAAATAGTCACATTCCTTGTTAATTTATATACAGTGTTCTATGAAGCAATGCAAGTTCCTGGCAATGTTCTATGAAGCTTTTCAAACTTAACACTGGGGCTGACAGGACGCACCTCGATGAGGACAGAACTAAGGAATGGAAAAATAACAAAGTTATTTTGTACAAAAAGTCCTCCTAGTATACAAAGATGATTTGGCCACAGTGGCTGACACTTGACCAAAATACTTACTTTTTAGAATTGGTGATTTGCTACCCAGATAGTTGTGATATGTGGATCGATGGTCTGTGTGCAGTTGGTGTATTTTCCTTGTGTTTTGATCCTAGACTTTTGGTTAAGACTTGACTGGGATGTGTCCAGTCATTTCTGAACCCATTCTGTCTATGTGTGTTGTTATCAGCTGAAACTCTGGTAGGCCAAGTAGGGGAGGAGTAGCCGTGAAACGGGTTTTGGGAAGAGGGAGATGGACTAGCTTGATGCCATCCTCCTGTCTTCCTGCCCAGGAGCATCCCATGAGGTTGAAAACGCCATCTTTCGGAGGGCGGAGCCAAGATGGCAGAGTGAAAAGCAGTGACTTGCTTGAGCTCTCCCCAAACCCCTCAAATACTCATAAAAAATGGCTCTAAACAAATTCTGAAGCAGCAGAACCCACAAAAAGACAGAGTGAAACAAATTTCCAGCCCAAGACAACCTGGATGATTGATCAGAAAGGTGTATGGCACCAGGCTGGGAGCAGCGCAGCGCAGCGCAGCGTGGGCACGTAGGCCACAGCAAACCTGGAGCTCAGAGGACTGAATCACAGGCAGCTGTGGAGGTTTCCAGACTCCTCAATCCACCAATGCCAAAGACAACTTAGAAGGTCAGTGGGAAAAGTCTGTTTCTGTCGGTGGTCAGAGAGGAAGGCGGGGTCTCAGCTCCATTCCCCAAGAGCGTGGCCCTGGGGGGGCAGCTGCTTCCCGAGCTTCCGGCCCACAGACTGAGGGGGAATCCAGTGGCTGATCAGAGAGGGATTGCAGGGATCTCTTTGCCAGTGCTGAGGCAGGAATCTCTTGCTTTGCCCGTGTGGATCTGGGTCACAGTTCTGGGCGCGGTGCTGGGGTGAGGAGGAGCGCTGGCTGGTGGAGCTTGTAGTGTGTGGAGAGGAACCCCTCCTCACAGTTACAGGACAGAAAGGAGTACTTGTGGTCACAGGCCAGGAAAGGAGTAAACACCTCGCCCCTTATCATACCACCTTGGAAGAACTGAAAATTTACAGGTCCCTACAAGTATCTCTGAAAACAGTACAAACCCCTGAAGCTTGGGACAGTACATCACCACATTGGAAGCAGACTCTTACCTTAACAAAGAGTTTAAAACTCAAGTAATTGGCCAGGATCATGAGCAAGCAGCACAAAAAGAGTCAGACTATATTATCTTACTTTGGTGAAAAAGAAGATCAAAATATACAACCAGAAGAAGACAACAAAGTCAAAGCTCCTACATCCAAAGCCTCCAAGAAAAATATGAATCAGTCCCAGGCCTTGGAAGAGCTCAAAAGGGATTTTGAGAAGCAAGTAAGGGAAGTAGAGGAAAAACTGGGAAGAGAAATGAGAGTGATGCAAGAAAATCATGAAAAACAAGTCAACAGCTTGCTAAAGGAGACCCAAAAAATACTGAAGAAAATAACACCTTAAAAAATAGCCTAACCCAAATGGCAAAAGAGGTCCAAAAAGCCAATGAGGAGAAAATGCCCTAAAAAGAAAAATTGGCCAAATGGAAAAGGAAGTCCAAAAGCTTACTGAAGAAAATACTTCCTTAAAAATTAGAATAGAGCAATTGGAAGCTAGTGACTTTATAAGAAATCAAGACATTGTAAACAAATCCAAAAGAATGAAAAATTAGAAAACAATGTGAAATATCTCATTGGAAAAACAACTGACCTGAAAAATAGATCCAGGAGAGAGAATTTAAAAATTATTGGACTATCTGAAAGCCATGATCAAAAAAAGAGCCTAGACATCATCTTTCAAGAAATTATCAAGGAAAACTGCCCTGATATATAGAACCAGAGGGCAAAATAGAAATTGAAAGAATCCACAGATCTCCTCCTGAAAGAGATCCCCAAAGGAAAACTCCTAGGAATATTGTAGCCAAATTCCAGAGTTCCCAGGTCAAGGAGAAAATATTACAAGCTGCCAGAAGGAAACAATTCAAGTACTGTGGAAACACAATCAGGATAACACAAGATTTAGCAGCTTCTACATTAAAGGAAGGATGCAGGGCAAAGGAGATAGGATTACAACCAAGAATCACCTACCCAGCAAAACTGAGTATAATCCTTCAGGGGAAAAAATGGTCATTCAGTGAAATAGAGGACTTTCAAGCATTCCTGATGAAAAGACCAGAGCTAATAGAAAATTTGACTTTCAAATACAGGACTCAGTGGAACATGAAGAGGTAAACAGGAAAGAGAAATCATAAGAGACTTATTAAGATTGAACTGTTTACATTCCTGCATGGAAAGATGATATTTAACTCATGAGAACTTTGTCAGTATTAGGGTAGTTGAAGGAAAAAATTATATGTATGTATATATATATAGATAGAGATAGAGGGCACAGGGTGAGTTGAAGATTAAGGGGTCATATCTGGAGAATAAAATTAAGGGATGAGAGAGGATGATACTCGGAGAAGAAAGGGAGAGGTAGAATGGGGTAAATTATCTCACAAAAAAAACAGAAAAGAAAAGTCTCTTACAGTGGAGGGGAAACAGGGGAAGGTGAGAGGGAATGAGGAATCTTATTCTCATAGGATTTGGCTTAAGGAGAGAATAACATACACATTCAATTGGGTATGGAAATCTGTCTTACCCTACAGGAAAATAGGGGAGAAGGGACAAGAGAGCAGGGGGATGATAGAGAGAGGGCAGATTGGGAAAGGGGTAATCAGAAGCAAATACTTCTGAGGAGGGACAGGGTCAAAAGAAAGAATAGAATAAATGGGAGGGCAGGATAGGATTAAGGGAAATAGAGTTAGTTTTTCACAACATGTCTACTATGGTGTTTTGCATAACTGCACATGTACAACCTATATTGAGTTGCTTGCCTTTTCAATGAGGGTGGGTGGGGAGGGAGGAAGGGAGAAAATTTGAACTAAAGTTTTAAAAACACATGTTTTAAAAAAAGTTTTCACATGCACTGGGAAATAAGAAATACAGGAAATGGGGTACAGAAGTCTATCCTGCCTACAGGAAAATAGAAGGGGAAGGGGATAAGAGAAGGGAGGGGGAGAGATAGAAGAGAGGCAGACTAGGGGAAGGGTATTCAGAATGCATGCCATCTTGGGGTGGGGGGAGGGGTGAAAATTTGGAACTCAAAAACTTGTGGAAGTGAACGTTGAAAACTAAAAATAAATAAATTTATATTAAAAAAAATTAGTGAAAAAAACACTTTTAAAGAAAGTCCCTGCCCTCAAGAAGCTTTCAGTTTTGAGGAGATATGATTCACAAATATAAAAGAAGAAGAAAATATCTTTTTGAAGATTACAATTAAAGTGTTTCCTTCTTTGTAAAAAAAATCTATCTTTAACTTATGAAATTGAACAAGCATTTCCATAATAGCACAATAAAAAAGATGATTGATTGTATATGAAACTGAAAATCTACTATGCACAACTTGCTATTCCTTTCAAATATACAACAAAATTATCATGTAAAAAAAATGCCATCTTTCTTTTCCACCCTGCTCTATTGCTCAGGGCTCTGACAAGGCAGTGGGGCACTCCGGCAGCCAGTAACCGACAGCGTCTGTGAAGTTCCCCACGAAAACGGACAGGCAGCCCGATTGGTTCCACTTCCTACGAAGCGCGTTTCTCCGCAGCCAGTAGGCCCGGGGAAGAGGAGAGCGAAGGGAAGGGGGTCCTAGGCGCGTCCAAGACATTTCCGGGCTCGGAGTGCATTCTCTGCGCCTTCGCAGCCCCGCAGGGCAGCCATTGGTCGGCTCTGTGCATAAGTGGGAGGGCTATGCAAATATAGGGTTGCCGAGTAGGCAAGGTGTTCTGGGTGCCAGGCAAGGGGCTTCTCGCGCGAAGAAAGTGCTAAAATTTGGTAAAGATCCGCTCTATGGCGTGTTTTAGGCGGCCGTCTGGTTGCATAGAGGGGCAGAGCGGGAGACTGAGCTTCGGGTTGGGGCGTGGGAGGTGCGGAAGGAAGGCGAGGCTTGGAAAAGGTGTTCGTTAGTCGCCGCATGCGTAAAATGGTGTTGTTGCGAAGGGGTAGGGGAGTGTGAGGGAGGTTTTTTATCGCTTCTCGGCCTTTTGGCTAAGATCAAGTGTAGTATCTGTTCTTATCAGTTTAATATCTGATACGTCCTCTATCCGAGGACAATATATTAAATGGATTTCTGGAGCAGGGAGATGGAATAGGAGCTTGCTCCGTCCACTCCACGCATCGACCCGGTATTGCAGTACTTCCGGGAACGGTGCACCTCCCACTGGGAGAAAAATGGTGTTCACGAAAAACAGACCTCGGGAGCTCTGCGGAGTAACCGTCTGCAAGACGTAGGTATGAGGGTGTGCGGACGTAGTAATAGGATCTCGGGGGGCTGGGGGGGTGTTTCGCGGAAGAGTTTTGTTTCGTGTAGCGAGCCCCGATGTTCGTCGGCCTACTCGCGGAGACTTGCACGAACGTGTGCGGCTATGAATAACTGGGGACGTGGAAATTGTGCCTGCTTTACTTACGTAGTTGTGTTCCGTGTTCACTTGAAGTTTTTTTGTAGAACACAGTTATCGTTCAAAACGACGCAGACGGTCACCACAGTAAGAGGAACTTGTGGGCTTAAGCATACACTGCTACTCAACAAATCCTGGTGACTCCATTTCGGGTTTTCTTGGCAAAGATACTAGAATGGTTTGCCTTTTCCTTGTCCAATTCACTATGCAGATTGGGCAACCGAGGCAAACAGGGTTAAATGACTCACCCAGTGTCATGCACCAATAAGTGTCTGAGGCCAGATTTGAACTGGGAGAGATGTCTTTCCTGATGCCAAGGCCCAACACTCTTGTCACCTACCTGCCCTACAAAACAAGCAGCAGTGGCAAGAACTATTTACTCACTGATTAATCTTTCTTATGCCTATGAATCAATAACAACAAGGGGCAACTAGATGGCTAGAGCTCCAGCCTTGGAGTCAGGAGGATTTGGGTTCAAGTCAAGCCTCAGGCACTTGACACTTATTAGCTGTGTGTCCCTGGGCAAGTCACTTAACCCCAATGCCTCACCATCAAAAACCAACACACAAAAGAATCTGGTCAACAGAGAGACTAACCGGGATTCCAGAGGACTAACAATAACTTCCCGCCTTCTGACAAAGAGGTAAAATACCCATGGTTTTAAATGAGATGTATTTTTTAGGACATGGCCAGTTAAGAGAAATTGTTTTGCTGGATTAAACATACTTGTTAAAAACAGCTTTTTGCTTTCTGGGTGGGGCAGAGTGGCAAGTTGGTAGGTTGAGAAAATTAAATTTTTGTTATAATAAAAAAAAAAGGCCTACCTAAAAACTAAAGTCAACTAGATAACTTACCCAGGGGTTACCATGCTCCTACTTACCAATCTGTACCAAATTTCACCAGGTAGTCAAATCAAAGACAAAATGACATCTTCCAGATATCAAGCAATTCTAAAACACTAGAAACTTTACCTTTGAAACCAAGTATTTCACTAATATATGACGTGCCTATGTGTGTATATATATATAATATATATATATATATATATATATATATCTTTACATTAAGAAAAATCACAGGAATTAGCCCATTAAGAACATACCTATCTTCATGGTCACGGAACCACACCTGCCAAATAAGTATGTAACATCTCCTCCACACAGTCACACAAACCGTATAGTCTTCCAAGTGATTCAGTCCATAATACCCAGGCTAAGCCCTTTACAATCAGTGTTTTCTACATGTAGTACCTGGTCCTAGGAAACAGGACCAGAAATCTTATATCTGTATATGCCCTGTCCCTTTCTGACATCACCTACCAAGCCTGTGGAGGAGACCACCATGTAATGGCTGTTCAGCAAAACTTGGACAAGGTGGGGCAGCTAGGTGGCTTAGAGCACCAGCCCTGAATTCAGGAGGACCTGAGTTCAAATCTGGCCTCAGACACATGACACACTAGCTCTGTGACCCTGGGCATGTCACTTAACCCCACTGCCTAGGCCAAAAAACAAACAAACAAAACCTTGGACAAGGAAATGAATGAGAACCCATGTGAGGCTCTCGAGTTTCCAGAGCCTAACAGGATCATACCAGGTGCCTTGCTATGTATGTTTTTTTGCTTCTTGATCTTGTTCTGACTTGGAATGGAGACTATTGGTTTAATTTCCCTCCTTGATATTCCTGTGAAGGGAATTATCATTTTCATATTAATCGATATAATATGGGTAATAAAAATACTAATAATTTAGAATTCTCAGCAATTGCCTATTCCAGCTTGTGAGTCAGAGCTCACGATGCAACTTGAAATGATCAATCCAACTTTGACAATGCTCACAATCACTGCCTGTGTAACTTCAGTGAATTGAATCAAAGATTGTAGAACCTGTTCCTGTCACAGAACTCTGGGCCTATGACCCACCAAGTCACGATCCCCAAGGAATGGACTCCAGAATTGTTGCATTGTCTTCCATTTGTGGGTTGGCTGTGGGAAACCACTCTGGCCCTAGGGAACAATTATTTGTAATCCACCTTCCCCCCTCCCTTTCCATTGTGAGTTATGTATAAAATCTCTGCCTTCACTTCAGCAAGGTGGAATTAGGATCAGGAGAATTCACGATTTTGCAAACCTGTTCCTTATAATGAAACTAATTGATTAAGTGGGTACCTAATTATTGCACTTTGTCTCTGGCCTGCTCTTTTGTCATTCTCAGGTTAGAGACTGGTTCAGTAAAAATCCTGTTAACACACCTCCAATCCTACTTTCATGAAGCCTTTTCCAACCTCCTCAGCCCAGGAGACAGACACTCCATGAGAAAGAAAAGGAAATCAGTTGCGGTTATGTACAGGATTTCAGGTTCATGCCTTCCTTCAAGGTAGTTGCCTTGGTGGGCTGGAAATAGACACACACACACACACACACACACACACACACACACACACCCATGAGTTGTAACTGAAGAAAGAAGGCCATTTTTCACGTATAACTCACTTTATAATCACATACCTTTGTGGATAACATATGATTGAAGTGAGGACTGAGCATAGATGGATAAATAAATTGGGCTGGCTGAAAGAGCAGAGGGAGACAGCCAACTTATTCCCAACCTCAGCTCCCTGCTTCTCCCAATTCCCTGACTGGTGGCTCCCTGGCTAATTCCCTAGTAGATCATGGACTCAAGCCGATGAATGAATAACAGAAAGTTTCATGATGTCTAGCTAAATGCATAAGGTTTAGTGTCTGGAGACCTAGGTCAGAGTCCCACAAATTTAGAAGCAATCCTAGGAGGATCTACAGTCTGATTAGAACATAAAATCTGCAGCTATATGATTTTTACAATTCACTTAATGAAGGAAATATGTATTTATTAAGCCCTTATTCTATGCAAAGTATTGTGCCAGGTAGGGAATAGGGGAAATACATAGATATTTGGAACATGGTGCTATTCTTCAAAAAACTTTTCCATCTCATAGGAGTGATACACACTAAATACATAAAGAGAATATAAATGAGGATACAAATCGAAGGAATAATTCCATTTTTTTTAAGGCAATTGGGGTTAAGTGACTTGCCCAGGGTCACACAGCTAGTAAATGTCAAGTGTTTGGTCTGAGGCTGGATTTGAACTCAGGTCATCCTGACTTCAGGGCCAGTGTTCTGTCCACTGTGCCACCTAGTTGCCCCCTCCAAGGAATAATTCTAAAGAAAATACTCATGGAGGACTGAGCAGGGAAAAATTGTTTTCTATTGATATCAGAAAAATCTTGGTAGAGGGAGGGTTATCCAGGTGGATTTGAGTTTCAAGAAAAAGAAATGGCCTGAGTAGAAAAAAGGAGGAAAATAGATGCTTTGGGTAGCTTATGTATGTTTATCCTATTTGGTGGAAAGAGCCTTACAGGTAGCATAAAGACCAGTCCCAGGTCCAATATTGACTAGATTTGTGATTTGGGGAAATGGGACATCAGTCTCTCCATCTATGAAACAGACGTAATAAATACCTGTATGAGTTACCTTCCTGGGCTTTTTGGAGACACAATTCATTGCAAACCTTAAAGCACAAGATAAGAAATGAGTTCCCTAAGAAGGGACACTTTATGGGGGGTGTAATGGAGGGGATATCACATATCTCAGAGGCCCAAGACAGATTACTTTGGTTAGATTCATATAGAGCAGGTTGTCCTTTTGAGACTTAATATTTCTTAATCAACTGGATAATCCTGATTGAACAATAATTAAGTTATGGTCAATTTTCTTGTTAGATTCAACTTTCTCTCTGAGGAGTAGTCACATTTATACCTTGTGTCAGTTCTTTCCCTCAGTCACCTTTTGTCTTCCATAAGACTAAAAATGTAGAGGGACCATGGGTCGATTAGGTCTCAATTACACAGAGTACATTCTAAGTGAATCTTCACAGTTCCCCCCCCCCCCCAAATCTGCTTTGTGCTGAAGGAGTAGGGCTATGTAAATCATCATCTGTTACCCAACTGTGAGGCAGTGAGTGTCGGAGAGAGGGTCTCCAAAAAGTTATTTTATGCTCAACAAAAGTGTTGACATTTCCTAGGGATGCTTCTTCTTGGGTGTTTTTTGTGATTGTTTACTTGGTGACTTTGTCCCACAAGACTGGTGGAAAGTTTCCAGGGAGTAAAGGGCAGGAGGAACTGAAGAGTAATGGAGAGGTGTACCAACTATATCCTTCTTGGGTGAGAAGGCTAAATTGGAAGAAAGCCCCAAGGTGCTTACAAGAAGTTTGTTTTGTTTTTTTGTTTGTTTGTTTTTTCCTTCCTTGCAAGTTTAGTGTTATAATGTGTAGGAATTTGTTTTGTTTTCTTGTCTTAGCTTTCACTTTTTTGATTTCTCTTAGGGATTTTCAGTTAGTCTTTTGGGTTTTTAAAGATCTCTGCTTACTTTTTTCTCTCTTGTTTTAGAAGCTGTGGTAAAGAGTAGTGCTTACTTATTGGCTTTCTTGCACAGTGGATAGGTCTGATTTTTCAATAAGATTGCTTGATGACAACAAATTGATCTATCAATTACTTAAGGCCTATTATAGGACTTATTTTCTCTTTAGGTGTTAGGTTTGTGAAACACTTTAACTTTTAGAAGAGAGGAGAATTTATCTTATTCTGTGAAGAGGTATTATGGATAGAAGCTTATTTTTAACTTAATGCATTGTCAAATTATCTTTTAAAAATACATATAAGGAGTGTACAACCATCCCTTAAAGAAAACATAGTTCAAATTTATCTTTTTTTTTTTAATCACTCAAATACTGAGGCTCCTACTGATTCCAGGTATCTCACTCAATATTCTTAGGTCTTCATCTCCTCCATCTCCTTTGG